CTAGAGGCATCACAGTAGCATGCTTGAATCCAACTCATAAATGTATGGCCAAAACCATAAATCTGTAAAGCCTCTAATATAAAAGACCATTCGAAGGCTTTTCAAAATCAACCAAAGATAAATTCTAAGAATGTCATCTTGCTCCATCTTTTCAATCCGATCAGAAATAAATCTAGTACATTCGCCTATATACCTACCTTTAAGAAACCCTTTATGTGTTTGGCTTATTATATCTACAAGCACCCTTTTTAGTCTATGCAAGACTTGCGGTAGCTATCTTAAAGTCTACGCATAACCGTGTGATAGGCCACCAGTTCTTCAGATAAAATGTTGACTTACCCTCCTTTGGTATACAAGTAATGATTCCTTGTCTTAGAGTGATAGAACACTTTCCATATTCTAAAGCCTCATTTAAAAATCTTACCAGTGGTTTCTTAATATCATCCAAAAAACAAAAATGTAAAATTCAACAGTGAATCCATCTATAACAGGTGATTTGGAATTCTTCATATGTTGAAGAGAAGACAAATATTTCTGCATTGTTAAAGATCTCTCACAGGAACCCACCTCTTCTTTATTAGGTTTTGTAATAAAAGGATCATTATGTTGAAGAAATGTGTCCATGTGAGTTTCAAGTAACAATGGACTAGAACTAGTATATATTTCCTTATAAAACTGTTTTTGTTCATTTCTAATAATACTGGGAACTGTTATCTTAGTCTCGGCCTCCAAAATAAGTTTGGGAATATTTTTTTCTGTGTAATGTTTTTTTTTCCCAAAATTACAAAAATAGTTATTGCAGATCCGTGGACTTTCATCTTAATCATATCCAATCACAGCTGATAGCTTACATTAAACTGTTTATCCTCTGTCTCGATATCCATAGATGGATCAGACTCATTTTATTCAGTGACAGTTTTGATGTCCCCTTTTACTTTCTCAATAAATTCAGTTTCCCTCAAAAGACTTTTATTAAATTGCCATGTACCCTGCCCTCTTATCTGACTCAAAATCTAAAATTAATCAATACAGGAGAATGATCCAATCTATAACTAAATATATATCTGATGAAATAACAAATGCTAGTATATCAGAGGTAATCGTGAAGTAGTCCAAACGACTTTGTTTGTGATTTGGACCCCGCCATGAGTACCTCTTATCAAAAAGGTGCTACTGGCGCCATATATCTAGTAAATCTAGTTCATGCATTACCTCATGACTCTTAGCTTTTGACTGGGGATTATTTCCACTTCTATAATGTAATGAGTCCATGTCATAATCTTGAACAACATTCCAATCTCCCACTACTACAATTGACGAATTGCCATAGTGGGAAATTTTGTGAGGTGAGGAGTCAGAATTTATCATTATGCGAACTACGTCATCGGTGCATGTAAACAATGGACTGGTTCAGTTGTATACATAAGTGTTCAGTAGAACCAGGCCAAGGTTGAATCAAACGACTAGAAAAAACAACAGTCTGTATACTTGTCATCTATATATTGATATTAGAATGAACGATGTCTCATACACTTGCATAAAAGTTCATGCTCAAACTATCATTAAAAAAGTTAAATACATATAACACAATTAATGTCTCAAAGATAACGAAATACGATAATTAAACGGTACATGGAATACTTATGTCCGTTCCTTTCTGAAAATATAACCAAACGCGATATAAAACATAGTAACTGTTGGACAATAAACTCATCATAGATACCAGGATAAAATTTTGTATTTACGCCAGACGCGCAATTCGTCTACAAAAGACTCATCAGTGACGCTCAAATCCAAAAAAGTTAAAAAGGCCAAATAAAGTTCAAAGTTGAAGAGCATTTATGACCAAAAATCCTAAAAGTTTTGCCACATACAGCTAAGGTAATCTATTCCTGAGGTAGAAAAGCCTTAGTATTTCAAAAATTCAAAATTTTATAAACAGTTAATTTTAAATATGACCATATCAATGATAAGTCATGTCAGCACAGAACAATATTTCATCAAACAGTCTAACAAGATTCTCTTTGTTTATAGCATCTAACAGAATTTGAAAGCATTGTCATTAACGGTCAAAATCAGCACAAAAAAAAACTGTATATTACTGAAGCGACTCATTTCAGTGGCAATCACTGGTATATTCCATGGATAGTGTACTGGACAGCATGCAGTCGAGGATAAACAATGTGAATCTGATTCAAGCACAAGCTGGTGTGGTGGGATTCTAGGAATTACTTCCAAACCGGTATAGTTCCGAATGAACTTTCCATATACACCAAGAATTATACTTGGTAGTTGTTGCCAAGCAGTCATCTCCGCAATAGTTCCTTCAATTCATGTCAGCCAGCTCAGCAAAATCTCTGCATTGAATTTCAACAGAAAAACTGTTCCTCCTAGCTAAGAGCAGCATATGTATAAAGGCCTCCTCCTGATTACGACGCACCTCTCCTTTTACCTGCTAGGATTACGACGGTGACGACAACGAATGCAGGTTGTAGTGTAATCAAGTTCAACTTCACCTATGGCAACACATAAATGGTTATCTGTCAGGGAATACATTTGATCCATCTGCCTCTGGGATATGCATTCTGCAGTAAGATTTGGATACATATATCGAAAGAGACGTAAAAACCAACGGGCAAATCCCAAGTCAGAAGCCCAGTTGTTCAATTTTGACGGACATGATCAGCCAGGTGCCACAGTGAAATTGCTTCAGTTAAGTTAGAACCTTCATATATCAGGCGTTATTTCTGTAGTAAATATTTCTGTTGTTTCACTGCCCCAGCTCGGGGTAGGAGAACTTCTATCAGTTTCCAGTTGAACATACATATGAAATGTTTTTGTTGATTGTAAATATAATTCGGGACAGTAATTATCGGCCCAAAAGTTCAAAAGTTTAGTTCTTGAGGTGAAAATTGGTTTTTTCACCAAAGTGTCAAGTTCCCTCTGGATCATTCTAACCATGCCATAATTGTTCAGTGAACACAACATAAGCTGGCACCAACGATGTATGTAGTCTTTGTCAAATACGGTACTTTCAAACCTATGTTCAATTGTATGTTGGTGCACCAAATTTCCAGCTTGAGCCTCTTGAACTTCAAAGCTTCAGCAGGTGTTATGTGGTTCCAAATACAATGGGAAATGCGTCTTTAAGACATGGATTCTCATTTTACCATGTGTCACTAACCCACAGACAAAACACTGATGTGTTACGATGCACGTTTTTTGTTTATCTCAAAGTCCGCTAAAGGCGTGTGATTATGTATACTTCCACTTAACTTCTATGGTGGAGATTGGTCTCATTGGCTATCATATTACAACTTCTTAATTACTGTGGATTCATTTATTTTCGTGGGTACCAATTTTCGTGGATTAAGGAAAACTGACTTGTTTGTTGATATTTAATTTCGTGGTTTTGACGAAGTCTGCATACAAGACTATGGAAAATTTGTTATTCGTTGAACAATTAATTTCGTGGTTCACCTGTACCCACGAAATCCACTAAAATTGGTATCCAACGAATAATAATGAATCCACAGTAAACAGATTTGAAAGTAAAAACACTAAACTGTTTACGGAATAAGTAACTAATTGCAATATGTTCGTGATCAGTGTTTTTATCTAATTTTGTTTTTTAAATAAATACTGCATTATTTGTTAGTAATAGTCAAATACAAATTTCACCCTAAACATGCTAAACAGATCAGATTTATAGAATAAATGATGTTAACAATGAATAATTTCTGTTCATTTTACATTTTTCCCTCTATAAATTATTATATAGCGAACACAAAATATCAAACCAGACAAAGAGAACAAGTAAATATACTGGAATATACCAAAGTGACGTACACAAAATGAAAAATTAAGCAAGAACAGAAATTTGAAAAGTTTTACCATCTGAAAGAATAACATATAGTGACATATTTGTTTTAATTCAATCATTTCCATTTCATTTGTCTACGAAGGCGTGCAATTAAGAAATTTGGCCAATAAATCTAAATTCTGGCTACTAATGTACGTTGTCGATAAAAAAAAAGTCCAGCAATTCTATAATGTTATCCTGTTTATTAATGTTGTCTGAATCGGTTTGTTTCATCGCAAATTTCGATCTAGCATGACTAATTAAGACAATGAAAGTGTAGCAGAAGTTGTAACTTTTGTAAATTAATTACTCTTACACGAGAAGATGACGTTGATCTTCCAATTGCACATGGCGTAGTGTCAAGCGTGAAGATTGAAGATTAAAGACTTAATGTTTAGGATTTGGAAGGATCCTTATATGATTGACAATATGTTTATCACACCTCATGGCAATATAGCTTAAGGCAGTCTTTTTCTTCTAAAGAATGATAGTTGGAACTTTACAACGATTGGATAATGCAGAATAAAGATGATAATTTCAAATTGTCTTTTTTATGAAAATGTCACATGTTAGAATATGTGAGGGATCCTTGTTTTTTGCTGTGAATTTCAAATTCTTTACAAAAAGTAAAATCACAAAAATACTGAACTCCGAGGAAATTTGTTTTTTTGGCAGAAACAACAACATCGGGGATTTGGCTTCTGAAATAAATAACATATTTTTTATAAGAAAAGAAGATATCTGAAGCATCGGAACTTTGAACGGATCAGAATCTTGCTTGTATGATAAAAAATGTACAAAATGAAAAGATCATGAATGCAATTCTGAATGCCTTTTGCCTAATACTTTTATAGCAAGCTGCAAAACAATACTGGGCGAAATCTGATACATATTAAGCGTCTACATTCATTAGAATTCAATATTTGATAAAATAACCAAGGAGGTTATCTATGAACCATTCAAACTATTATTAAACCTTTATTAATCACCCGATAAAGGAGAACAAACATATTGATTCGTAGTTTGCAACAAAAATAAAATCAGCTTCAAAATAAGAAAGTGGCATAGATATCATTGTTTGTTTTTGTGACATTTTAGTTTGAAAAATGGTATTGTATTGTTAAATGTGTATTCCTACCATTTCTCCATCTTGAATGCTAAAGATTGGAACTTTTATTTCTCTCTTGTTGCCAGCTCTGTCGACGTTTATAGTAATGCTTTCGACTTCATGTATGTTGTCATCATCCCCTTCAATATCAACATAACATTTTCTTGGAATCAATTCATAGAGTTTCTTTGGTAGTCTGTTTTGTTTTTCTTTTGAGAGCTTTTGGAACCATTCGGTTTTACCAATGTTCTTTTCTAAATCTAAAATATATCTTATATAGTCAGATTATGTCGTATTGAGAATTTTAAACTAGCGTGTTTATAGTTTAAAAGGTATTAATGTCATCAACATAGGCACAATCCTTCACTATAAATTTGCTCACTCAAAAATACCTCCCTATTCCAAAAATCAGTTTATGCTACCTATCAATATAATGGGTTTGTATGCGACTGGCATACAAGTGAGAGATTTAGCTAGATTTACAACCAGGTTTGATCCATCATGTTCTACAAAAGGAAAAAAGTAAAATAACAAACTCCGAGGAAAATTTTGCCTAACTTGATGGTCTTGATATCTTTGTTGGCAATTAAACGCTTTAGAAAGAATTTTTTTCCTTTTTCATCATTTTCAATGGGAACAGGTTTGAAAAGTCTGCGTTTCGAAATATCCGAGATGATTGCTGTCAGTTTTTGTTTGAATGGGGGTTTATTGCAGTGGTTTCTAAACATAACTTGTACAGAGAATTAAGTCTTGAAAGGTTAGTGAATAAAGTCCATGTATAAATGATATTTGTTTTCAAGGAAATGCCTGTATCAAGTTAGAAACATAACAGCTGTTTTTATTTTGTTTGCTGTGTTTGAGTTTTTGATTTTATCGTTGGATAAGGGACTTTCCGATTTAATTTTTCCTTGGTATTTTTGTTATTTTACTTTTTTCATACCGATACCAAACCAATTGCAACTCGAACTTTGAATTACAAACAAGTGTTACAGGGTCTCAATAATGACGAATTCAAGTGTAAAACTCCAGATTACACATGTGCTAGTTCCTATTCACATGTAATCCGTCTTACCACGGTATTAATTGTGATTTAAACATTGTCAATAACACTTTTCGGCAAAATGGGTTATCCTTAGATCCGACATATCGTGCGCCTCAATCCATCACTTTGCAAAATACAACGGGTTAATCGTTAAATTAAAGACTTTTCCAATTGGGAAACTACCTATTCTGGAAGCGGTGTTAATTGGACGAGGAAACTAAAAAAATTCAAAGGTATGTTTGAGTACAAGTTATTCAAAACACAAATAGCATTCCAATTGAAACCAACTCTGCTCCTCTTCTTGCCTAATTAATCATATGCGGCGGACTTTGTACAGGAGCTTTTCAGAAAGCATGGAAAGAAGTTAGCAGTATCCTTCAGCTTCACTTTCGGTTATAAAGATGATATTTCTTTACTGAACAATTCAAAATGTGGTGACTATGTTGAACATAAATGACGACGAATATGTTCCAATCGTCTCAACAACAATCCCACTACCTTCTCCGAATGTGCCCCTGGAAGTAGATGTATCAATATGTTTGTCTTACATGAGCAATACGACTGGTACCAAATGTGGAGCACATTATAGTACGACATTGTCATGTAAAACAGAAGTTATATCATTTAATCAAATGGTCCTTTGAAAAGTTTTATCATTACATTAAGCAGGTTTGAAGTGTTAAGCGATTCAAAGGAAACAGTGTATTTGCCGTTAATTTTTATCGTAAGATATTATTAAATTGACCATCAATAGATTTAGACACATTGCTAAAGCCCTCGGTCCGATATGGGAATATCATGAAGATTAAAAGGCAAACATTGAAAACGCCATGTAATAATTATATTCTGAATCAAAGGTACAAATGGTGGAAATAAATACTTAAATATGATATTTGTAGTCACTCAATATTGTTTTCAATATATTCTGATTATAATCGAATTAAACAATACAGTGGTTATCGTATTAAAAGTAAACGGGAAGATATTATTTCTGACTTTCTTCACTCATTAATTAAAAGAACAGCGACTTTGACTTTCATTCACTTGATTTGGCTCAGGTGTCTTCTTCAATCTTGAATTTTGAAGTAGCAGATAACAATTGGTCTAGATCTTTAATGAAATGTGCAAATTTTGAGAGCAGTGTGTAATTCAAGTGTAAGACTTTTTAATGTAAATAAACAAACTTATGTGTTCTCCATATTAGCGGATGTAATTTCTAAAAAAAAACACCATGTTTGTGTTATATTTATTTTTGTCAACTTTGCCAAAACAGGGGAGACAACTCAGATAGTAGGGCAGATAACTCAGATAAAGTTGTTTTATCATAGAAAGTGTTGTGAATTTACCTATTCTAATATGTAGCAGGAAAATAAGTTCGGTGACCCCATTTTTTCTTCTTCTTATCCGCAAGCATGTTAGAGGAGCTTAGCCTATCTTCTCACATTTTATCTCAAAATTCTATAATGTAGTTGTCTTTTTATCACACACACTTGAATTTCCATGCATAACCTATACAAAATCTGACAATTTTACACAACCTGTAGCGTGAAAAAAAGTCCGGTGACCCATACTTTTTATTACATTTTTGAAAAATGCTATTATCAAAACTTCATTTTGACAAATTATTAAACTTTTCCTTGTATTTCAATTAAGACGCACCAGCTACCTTAACACTATATTCTTTTTTATTTATATTACCAGACACACAAACAAAGATGCCAGCTTTAAATTTAGACGTAACAACAATTAATATAACATCTCAATATTGAAAAAAAATACCTGGTAAAACATATTGAAGATATCCACAGTAATGTGACCATGCTAGTCCATTTGCTACGTCGTTCCCAACCATGTTTCTTCTTGCTAATAATGACGAATAGAAAAAAATAGGTCCATTGTGTTCTTCTAGCGATATGAATATATGAATATTAAGCGACACAAAACAAAAAAACTATGAGTAAGACAGGTATAACACACACACAAGAAGGAATGTACAATATGATTACTCATAATTCACTGTGTAGACATCTAAGAATGTAGGCCTTGGTAACACGGAAACTTTCAATTTGTTAATTTGGTTATTTCACCATGTTATATGTTGACTTTTGTGCACTTTACACAAGCATTCCCAATTCAAAACTAAAAAACAAATCGAAAGAGTTGGCATTGCTTTGTTTCATAAAAAAGAATGGACAACGTACATACAAGTATCTTGTCTAAGGGAGGGATAAATCCTACTTTGTAAAGAATCACTCTGATTCAAACAAAAAAATTATCTGCAACTGACATCGTCAAGATGCTAGATTTCTTGATTGACAACATATTTGTTACGTTTGGGGGACGTTTTTTTCAACAAACTTTAGGCTTTTCCATGGGAACTCATCGTTCCTCTCTTCTTGTCGAATTGTTCCTTTATTCCTATAAGGCTAACTTGATACAGGAACTTCTTAAGAAGAAAGAATAGAATTTATTCATATCCCTTAACTTCACTTTTCGCTATATAGATGATGTTCTCTCACTAAATCATTCAACATTTGGTGACTATGCTGAACGCATCTATCCCATCGAACTAGAGATAAAGGATACAACAGATACATTAAAGCCTGCCTCAAATCTAGAAATTGACAATGAGGGTCAGCTGAAAACAAAACTTTACGACAAAAGAGATGATATCAGCTTCCCAATTGTAAACTTTCCATTTCTATGTAGCAAACGAGAAAACTAACAAAGTATACTATGACATTATTTCATTACGGTATATTGCATTTGACAACCGACAATGGAAAACAGATAAAATCAATTGAAAAATCAATTGATGTTAGTTATGTCGCGTGTTTTCGATATAAAGATTACTGTGTAAGTGTTAAGTAGATACACATTGAAGGGTAAATCTGAAAATTAATGGTGAAATTAATCGATTACATGTATATAGATGGTTGACAATTAGTACACAATCAGAAAGTAATGGAAACTCGGAAAATATTGCAAAACATGTTGATCTGCGTTAAAATCCTATAAAAATTGGTGGAAACAATTATCGTCTTTACAGATTGAAAACAATTTAGCTTACGGACATTAGAAAAAATATATAAAGTACACAGTATGCTGAAACATTTGTATTTTGATTTCTAATCAGGTATGATGATAACTCGGAATAATGCCCCTTTCATAAGTAAATGTATATTTGCATGTCGAATTTGTGTAAAAACATATATTTGAGAGTCTGGAAGGGGTTATAGAATAAAGACGAATAGTCAAAAAGTTAAGAATGAAGGGCAAACGAATTAGATAAAGGATAAAGGCAAAAGTCACAACGTTTGAATAAAAATGAGAATAATTGGGAGCTTGAGTATAATGGATATAGATAATTGGCAAAATAAAAACTAACATGACTAAATAAAAGAGAAAAATAATATGAAAAACGAACAACAAAAGAAATGAAGAACATCTAGACTCTTATATAATGCCAATTAAAATCTCTTCACAGACATAAATAATATAATAATGAATGATTAATATCCAAGATGGCAAAGTTTTGTTATTTATATACGTCTTCCGGTTATAATTTATTACTTACTTACATAATCAATGAAATGTTTAAAATTATATCGGAACAAGCCTTTACAAAATCATGTTTATTAATGTGTATACGTAATTTATGAACAGGACATTACTGCTACATTAAATCACAGCAAAGGAACATCTATATAGATTAGACCGTTGGTTTTCCTGATTGAATGGTTTACACTAGGTTTTTTTTGGCCTTTCATAGCTTGCTGTTCGTTGTGAGCCAATACTTTGACCTATAATGGTATACTTTTATAAAATGTGACTTGGATGGCGAGTTGTCTCAATGGCCTTCAAATATTCGGCTTTTGAGCGTTCCTGATGAAGGTAGATCCATAAAAGCGTTTCGGACGCATGTAATTTTTAACGTTTTGTTTTCATTTTTTATCCATTACCTGACGATCATACATTGCCTTTTTATCCTTAATTTCAGTTCAAAGTATCGATACGGTAGGAATACTGAATTTATGGGTTAGGGTTGAACGTTGTGCTAGCCACGAATGAAGGAGGGATTTGATAACTATTTACACTGCTACAAATATTAGTAGCGTAGGGCCATGTTACTGTTAAAATATATCTTTCGTTTCTTCAACTCATTGTGCTGATCTTGTAAAAGCTGAATACATTCATGCCATATAAACGTAACCATAAACATTAAAACCTGCATATTTATATAATAGTTGCCGCTGTACACTAAGCGTCCATCTATCCATCTGTAGGTGTCGGCATTTTAAAATCGTAATTTGAAATAATTTTAAAAAGTTCATATCACCGATAAACATATGATTAAGTTGAAGTGACCAATTGATATGGTAATCTATTTGGGAATCGGAAATATAAATATTGTCACTAAGGTGACACTATATTTGACTTGAATACTTAAAAATGCGCAAATAACAAATACGGAGCTATCCCTTAATACAAAAACAAATCCTGTTTCCTTTTATTTGCTATTTTAAAACCGGGCGGATATAGGACACCTAATGGAACAATATATATGATAAAACTTTTAACAAGCATCAGTTCAAACGTTGCCTAAGAGAGAAATCATTTAACTTCAAGGAGGATTAGGGTATGGTTTTTTGTCTGAGTCAAGTTTAATTTGGTTTTTCAATGCTATCAATCAAATTACTTTGTTCAAAATTTAACACTTTAAGGTATGGGGCAAACACAAAATGTCCATCCTGGTATCAATAAGTTTATTTTGATACATTATAACAGTTACCTAGGTCCAAGCTACTTATATTTTATCTTACTCTTAAATTCAGCCTTCAAAAGAGATATCAATGACCTATAACATTCGAGGCTATTACAACGTTCATTGCGACACCATGCACTCAGTATTCCTACCGTACCAATACTTTGAACTGAAAGTAATGATTCAAGACAATATATGATCGTCAGGCAATCGATAAAAAATGAAAGCAAAACGTTAAAAATTGCATGTGTCCAAAGCACTTTTATGGATCTGTCTTTACCAGTAATTTCGAACGATCAAAAGCCGAATGTTTGAAGGCCAACAATTTATATCAATCGAAATAGTTGATAAACGGTTATATATGATCGTTCAAAATGTACAATCAATGATTTCATCTGCCGACATGATTGTAGATAGTAAAAAGTCGTAAAGCAAAACAAAAACAATTGAAATAAAATTTATGAGAATACACGTGTATTGAGCTATTTTATTGCTTAATAATCGGTAGAAAATATATAAATACTCAACCCTACCATACTTTTTGACCTACTGCAAGTTGGTCAGTTTTCACTGTTACTCCTAAATGATGGGAAAACCAAATAGTTCTGAACTATTTATTTCAAACGCTAAGCTTTTGTTAGAGATTTTTTTAAACGTAAATCAACTTGGTTAAAAAACCCGAATTCTTCTTTAAATTAATTATTTTGCAATTAAAAATGATTTGATATATTTCGTGTTTTTTTTTATTCCTAACTTAGAATGATCATAATCAGAGCTGTATTTCTTGTTTTAAAATGAATTCTGCGCTTTTGAGAAATAATTATTTTGCTATCCAATTTTTCATGCTTATAATTGTCTGTCGCTGGTTTTATTTTATACATTAATTTTAAAGTTACATTCTAATATGACGTGCTTCTTTCGCTTTGTAAACAAACCCAAGCCCGAAATCCAATAACATTTGTTTAAACATGCGTATATTGACTACTGCAGAAAAATGAATTTCATCAAATTGGCATGCATTTAATATATTTCAATAACTTAAAACACCTTCAAACTCTTAAATGATGCACATGTTGCTACTTATACACATACAATGACTACAATGTGTTACAATTCGCAATTGACATATTTGACCGAGATACGACAACGTTTCATGTTGGCTGTTCAAAACATGACCTCCAAAGTAGAAGACATTAAATTATAACTTTCTGTTATATTGTGACACGAATATTGTTATTGTTCATAAATTTGGTAATTTCAATTTCAATTTTTTAATTTTAGAATTACAACTTTGCTTAATTAAACAGTGGTTCGAACTTACGATTTAGATAAAAACTGACTATCGCTCGGGCAAAAATAATCACGAATATAATGCCTACCCATGTTAAAACTACAATAAAGTATAGTTTGCATCAATTATTTCTTAAGTAACTGTTCATTTTATTTTATTTCGTTTCTTTTCGTTTTCAACGTTTCCGTTTTGTTCCGCTTTTATTCCATTTCGCACTTTACAGGTTCCCCTCTTTTCGCCCGTACTTTTTTTTTTTGATATCTTAATCAAAAGTTCAAAACATCAAACTTTCAAAACGCGAAATAATCAAAGCTGCACGTACAGTTTAGTACTTTTAAAGTTTGATCAAATATCCAAACTATCAAATTTTAAAAACGATATTTAGAATTTTAGAATTTAATTATTTGGTGAAAATTTCAAAAATTTCAAAAATTTTCAATAAGTTTGAATTTTGATATTTTAAAGCTATGATCAAAGTTCCAAAAATCTAAAATTTTAAAACTTTTTAAATTTTGAATTGATAAGTGTTACACGGACCCTCCATGTATATTCCTACTATATCGAGTTCCAATAAAATATCTTTCAAAACTAGATAATTAAAGAAACATCAGACAAATATTTCTCTGTCTTATTCTTTGCATGTACCTCGAATTTGATATCTGCGTCATCTCAGTACAAGAATCTTCGACGAACAGGATGATTTTAATTTGAAAAAACTAAGCTGTCGTCACATTATAAACAGCAATATAAAATTGAAAATGGAAATAGGGAATATGTCAAAGACAAAACAACCCGACAAAAATGCAGAAAACAGTCGAAGGCCCCTAAATAAACATGTGTACTGGTTCAGTGAAAATGGACGTCAGACTAAACTCAATAACATATAAATGAACTAAAATTAAAAACAAATACAACACTAACAAATGCCAGAGGCTCCTGACTTGGGAGAGGCGCAAAAATGCGGCGGGGTTTAAAATGTGTTTTGTTGTGAAAGAAAGGGGATGAAAGATACCAGAGGGACAGTCAAACTCATAGATCGAAAACAAACTGACAACGCCATGGCCAAAAATAAAAAGACAAACAGACAAATAATAGTACAGATGACACAACATAGAAAACCAAAGACTAAGCAACACGGACCCCACCAAAAACTGGGGGTGATCTCAGGTGCTCCGGAAGGGTAAACAGATCCTGCTCCACATGTGGCACCCGTCGTGTTGCTTATGTTATTACAAATCCGGTAAATAGTCTAATTCGGTAAGTCACATTCGTGAAAAGGGAGGGTATTGTAGTTACGACATAAGGAACATATCCGATATCATCTGTGAAACGGTTATTCCATAACGTTCAACCAACTCACACACAGCAATACGCACAGCAATACGCACAGTAAAACTCAGTTTAAAAGAAGTCCGAGTCCGAAGTCAGAATAGGTAACAACAGACCCTAAGAAAAATACCAATGATACATTATTAATAAACGACTACTACCATTAAATGACATGCCAGATCAAGACCTCAACTAAACTGATTGAAAAATAAAAAACGTTGTTACATACACGAACGAAGTTGAGATATATAAACATCAGAAGATGGTGACAAGGGAACGTCACTATCTAAATATAGATAATAAACAATAGGAAATGAAAATCATATTTTTTATCACAAATTTTGGTATTAAGCTTCCGTTAAAGATATAGATATCAAGATTCATGAAAGGGCAGTGTTCATTGTTAGTATTAGCTTTATCTAAAGATAGTTCAACAGGATAAATTTCTTTGTATGCGGAATCACCAAATACCAATTGCACTCATCAATAAAATACACATTTATCAAATCATACTATATTCTAGAGCATCGTGTTGTCACTCAGAAATTGAAAAATGATGGCGGACCAAAAAGTAAGTAGTTCCTTTTGATAACGAATAAATAATGACATATATTCACTGTAGAACCTTCCTTTTCACCCACATAAACCAATCCGCAAAGGTTACATTCTAATCTGTAGAATAGATTTGTTGATTAATTATTCTGACCATCGTAGTTTTTAGTATTGTAAGGTTTTTTAGTTGATTTGCAATTAAATTTAACATCTTTTATATTGTTGTTGTTAATGGTTTTGGTAGGCGACATCTTGTCGGATCATTTTAACTAGGCAACGTAAGAGTCAATAATCTGTTAGATTTTCGTTAGTTCATTCATTGTAATCGAATGATATCCTCTCGGAAAAATTGTCCATCAACATGCCAACAGGGACATCGAACTAGAAAAAGAGTTTTTCAAGAACCAATTAAAGGGACATTCAAACTCAGAATTCGATAACAAACGGACAATACCATGGCCAAACAAATGCCAAACAACAGCATACGAAACAAAAATAGAAAACTAAAGACTGAGCAAGGCAAACCGCATCTTATACCGGTAAAATCTCGAGTTCTCAACATGATTCACCCGTCATGTTGCTCACTAAAATATAACAAAAATGTATCAAAGAAAATACAATTGAAAATCTTCACGTTTCCCTGGGGAAGAATTTGGCAATCTTATTGAAAGAAGGATACTAAAGTCACATTTAAACTCATAAGTTGGAAATAAAACTAACAGCGCCACGGCTGAAAAAGATAAAGACAAACAGAAGGACACACACCAGTAAATAAAACAACATAGAAACCTCAGCAACACGTCTCTACCAAAATCTCGGGGTGATCTCAGGTGCTCCGGAAGGGTATTCAGATCCTGCTCTACATCGTTTGGCACACGTAAGTACACATCCGGTTATATGTCAAATTTGCTAGGTAACATCCAGGGGAAAGTTACGACAATTTGAACATATCCGTCGTCATCTGTGAATCAGACGTCATCTGTGAATCAGATATATTTTAAAAACGGCCAACCAACGAGTGAAGGCGTCGGTAAAAGGGATGATTTCAACTACACCAATTGGAACTCCTGGTTAAAAAGCTTCTCCTTGAGCAGCAATCATCTATCAAAGAAAGTGTGATAGGCAAAACAAGCCCTAAACTGTCAAAGGTTTTTTTCCGAAGTAAATGTTATAAAACCAATGTTAGTGGTAATTGCGGTAATGACTTACAAATGTTGATCAATTGGGTGTTTTACAATACATCTCAAATCAACTACTGAATATGTATTCTAGTATATCATTGTAATACACATGAGATATATTTTGTTAATAAACATGCCCTCTATTCAGCAAATCTTATATTGCAATGATGGAAACAGCCATTGTTAGCGCTCGCTTGTGCAAATGTCATGTGAAGTATCAATTGTGTATCAATTGTGTTTTAGACATATAATATCTAGCATACATTCAAAACTCCTTCCGTGTGGACTTTATTCCAAATTGAGAACTCGAGAAACTTTTGCTGTTGACAAATCGATTCCATATTTATTATTTATTACCATAATAATTTCGTAACAATATTTATTCTTTATACGCTGTAAAACATCATTTATGTACGATTAAAACTCAAGTTTGGGTAATGTTCACCTTAAACTATTATGATAATGATATATATTATATTTTATTATTACTGTTTAAAGAACTGTTAATATGTTGTGTTTTTAGTTCTGCAAAATGCAAATGAAACATATAAGAAACTTAGTTTTCAAACCACGCACTTACCTTTCGTCTCTGAGTGTTCTCTACGTTTTGTCGTAAGAAATGTAAATCCTAAACAACATCAATAAACAATTTAGCAGTGTATACAATGTGTAACAATGAACGTAATACTTAATCTTTTTTTAATGTGAAAACTTATATTTATATTTAGAAGTTAAGCTTTTAATAAATGTCTTTATAACTGAATGAACGTAGTAAAGCTCAGGCAGTCCTCCATATTTTGCAATGATTAAATAGTCCTCTGAAAGTGACTTCTTTTTTCCACAATTGTATTGATTGTTGTCACATTCATAATAACAGACGATGTTATTTCAGAAAAAGACAACAATTTCTTTTTATCTGTTAGATGTGATTGAGCTTTTGATTTTGCCATTTCATTACGGACTTTCCGTTTTGAATTTCTCTTGGAGTTTGCTGTTTTTTTGTTTTTTTACATCTTTTATACCAATGTTCAATAGCCACAATTCGATTAAACAAAAAACAAATCTGGTTATCAAATCGAGAGAAACACATCGACTATAAGAGGGAAGGTTACCGGAACAACAGAATCACTGAACTACAAATTTAGCACACACCAGCATACATGTTGGTCCTTGAACTACTAGTATCAATATCATAATATTTCAGAAATATTGCCCTTTGACTTTAAACAGATTAATGATTTATTTACATGAATATTCATATATTAGTTCCGTTGACTTATTAAGACTTGCGTTTGATTTTGCCAATTTCTATCTATCCTTTTAACAAGAATTGTCAAAAATATCTTTTATTACACATACCTTCGGAAATTACCTTTGCAAATGCACCGATTGCCGTTATTGAAACAATAATATTTATGGCTCCTTGACCTGCAAATTACACTAAGATATCATCTATGACACTTAAATAACATTCAGTTGCAACATACTCATGTAAATACAACACGTTTTTGTCCGCCAGTATGAGTTCATTTTTTTTTGAGACTGTAAAATAATATTGTAAGCAAAAACATCAATACAAATACGAAATATATTACGCAAAATTTGCCCTTGTAGGTAATTCATTCAAGCAGTAAAAAAAATATTGCTGGAACATCCTGCAAACGTTACACTAAATATAGAAAATAGAAATAGGAGATTTAAATCTTGATTGAATAGAAACTACACATTAACTTAAATCATATGCCTACAAATCATGGTATAAAACACACACTGAGGGGATTTGCTGATCTCCTAAGGAAAGACATTGGGTATGTCGACAATATTTTCTGTTATCATCGACCGCCATGCGAATCTACATTCATTCAATACGTGACAATACGGACTAACACATCAAGAAATATCATCACATACCGAGAAAACTTTAAAATAGTGTAAGCGTATTAGTCAATTAAATAGAGATTGTGACCATTAACAAATGTATCATGCTTTCATTCTATTTTTGTTGTTAATACTCTTTAACTTCGTTTACATTTTTGCTGCTTTGTTTTAGATTCTAGCACCACCAATGCATCTTGCTAGAACCCAGAGTAGAACTTAAAGCATAGTATCGATTCTTTTAGTTATTCTTCATAAATTCGCATTTATACTTTAATTGGAAAGCAGTTACTATAGAAGAAAAAAAAAACACAAAAAGGCAAATATCATTTTCAAATAAATATGGAATTGAATAGTTCTTTAGGTGTCTCGGGTGTCTTCCTCCATCTTGGATTTTGAAGTAGCAGCTAACAATTAGTATAGATCTTTAATGAAATATGGAAATGTTTAGAGTAGTATGCAATTCCTGTGTAAAAGAGATACCAGAGGAACAGTCAAACTCATAAATCGAAAATAAACTGACAACGCCATGGCCAAAAATGACAAAGACAAACAGACAAACAACAGTACACAAGAAAAAACATAGAAAACTAAAGACTGAGCAACACGAACCCCACCAGAAACTGGAGGTGATCTCAGAAGCTCCTGAATGGTAAGCAGATCATGCTCCACATGTGGCACCCGTCGTGTTGCTCATGTTATTACAAACCCGGTAAATAGTTTAATTCTGCAGGTCACATTCATGAAGGGGATGGGGATTGTAGTTACGACGCAAGAAAAATATCCGATATCATCCGTGAAACGGTAATTTCCATAACGGTCAACAAACTCGTGATGGCGTCCGTAAAATGTACGTATGGATGATTTCAACTTCACCATTTGGAACTCTTGGTTTATAACTTTCTTGTGTGCAACAACCCTCTATCATTGAAATCATGATAGGAAATGTAAGACATTCAAAGTTAATACAGAACAGTATTTGTTTTAACATATTTATGACTGTATTTTCTAAAAAAAACACACCTTGTTTTGGTTGAATTCATTTTTTCTTTTTTTGCAAAATAAGGGGAGATAACTCAGATAAAGTATTTTTTTAAATAGAAAGTGTTGTAAATTTTCCTATTTTAATATGTACCAAGAAAACAAGTTGGGTAACCTCATCTTTTTTTGTTCCTTTTTTGAAAGCATGTTATCCTGGTTATAAGAGCTATTTTAAATTCTATGACACCCTAGCCACCTTGATAAGATAATTGACTTAACTACTAGACTATGTTTATATATACATACCTTTGCTTATCAAAGACTCTGCCTTAACTTTGTCAATTACATACTTTTTCCCAAAATCTTTTAACGTTTTAAGATCGATTATCCTGAACAGAAATAGATCATGAAGATTAATAAATATTTGTGTTAAACAAAATTATAAATGATATCTGAAATAAAATCATAATTGCCATCCGTCCGAAGCGTTTTTTTATATATACAAAACGCCAAAAAGTGTATAAAACAAAACCAATTAAAAAAAAACAAGAGGCTCTCAAATGCATGACTCGCTAACTTGTTATTTTTTTTGCTTAAATCTTTCATCAATGATAATTTTTGCTTTTCAATATATATTAATGAGTGGCTTAAAATGCAATTTAAATGTTCATTGTAACTGTCATTTTTTCTTCAAAAGCAAATAAATGCATTTACCCATATGTTCCATTTTAGCCATAGTGTCTATGTTTCTTGACGTACACATGGTACAAGGAAATAAAATAAAAAATTTATACTAGATTCATTTGAAAAGATTTTTAAAATTAAAAAAACACAAACAACTTGTGTAAAATTGTCCTTAAAGGGTCAATTGACAATTTTGGTCATATTAACTTTTTTGTAGATCTTACTTTGCTGAACATTTTTGCTGTTTACAGTTTATCTTTGTCTTCAATAATTTCAAGATAATAACCAAAAACTGCAAAATGTCCTTAAAAAACCAATTTAGTGGTAGCCACCAAAAAATGGGTTGTTCGGTTTGCTTGAAAATTTCAGGGCTGGTAGATCTTGACCTTTTGAACATTTTTATCAAATGTCAGATTTGCTCTAAATGCTTTAGTTTCTGAGATATAAGCCAAAAACTGCATTTGACCCCTATGTTCTATTTTTAGCCATGGTCGCCATGTTTGTTGATGGATCAAAAATTCGGATACAATTCATAAACTAGATTCCTAAAGGATCATTAATTTAAAGTTAAAAAGTATTCGGTACAATAGTTTCAGAGGAGAAGATTTTTAAATGTTAGCAAACTTGATGAACAAATTGTGTAAAATTGTATTAAAAGGGCAATAACTCCTTAAGGGGTCAATTGACAATTTTTGTCATGTTAACCTTTTTTGTAGATCTTACTTAGCTGAACGTTATAGCTGTTTACAGTTTATATCTTTCTATAATGATATTCAAGATAATAACAAAAAACTGCAAAATTTCCTTAAAACTACAAATTTAGTGGAGCAACCCAACAATGGGTTGTTTGATTCGTCTGAAAAATTCCGGGCTGATAGATCTTGACCAATTGAACAATTTAACCCCATGTCAGTCTTGCTCTAAAAGCTTTAGTTTTTGAGATATAAGCCAAAAACTGCATTTGACCACTATGTTCAATTTTTAGCTATGGCGGCCATGTTTGTTGATGGATCAAAACTTTAGATACATTTATAAACAAGATACCCTAAGGAACATTTAGTTAAAATTTGAAGGTATTTGGCCCCGTAGTTTCAGAGGAGAAGATTTTTGAAATAATTTACGACGACAGACGACAGACGACAACGACAGAAGACGGACGACGACGGACGCCAAGTGATGGTATAAGCTCACATGGGGCCAATCGGGCCCCGGTGAGCTAAAAAGGAATATTAAATATAATTATCTATAATGCTTCGGATAATAGATATCATTCATCAGTATGATTATGATGTAAAATGAATCATATTAATCTATTATGATTAAACTATAACAATCTTGAAATTTATACAATTAAACAGTTCAAACCGAACACAGATATGCTTGTACAATTCTAAAATTTCAAAAATGACGTAGGTTATATAGCATTTTACAACAGAGACTGCAAATATATGTTTCAAATAAAAATGGTAATGTGCGATATGAACTAGTACAATTCTACAATTTCAAAGGTGACGACAGTTAAGATGTTAATTCAACGATTGTGTGAAAATAAATTCCCAATAAACAGCACTGACCGATCTCAGCTGGTATAAAATTTCAAATTGTAGAGCCATATAACCAAAGAAAAATACCCAAGCATAGCGAAATCCATCTAAGGCCAACTTTGCCTGATGAAGTTGAAAACTTAGTATCTTTATAATTTTAAAATTTATAAATGGTGAATTTTGGAAAAGTTTGTTATAAATCATATGATTACCGGAGTATATAACATTGAGATTGTGGTACCCACGGGGACTGATCATTCACCAGCAGAGTTATTGACCCAACGATGTACATATTAAAACAACATATTTGTTTTCATTAACCTTTATCAGAAACGCTTAAAATCGAACATTTGACAGCCAAGGATGTATGAGAACCGAAAGTTTTACTAAGGGAGTTCAAACCTCAGTTTTTCCCAATTCATAAACGGAAAATTTTAGAAAAAAAAATTATGAATCATGTCACTTCCATAGTACTAACTACTGAGCTGTTTATACCATTGGAGACTGATAACCAGCGGAAGTATCGCCTCAGTGATGTAATAAAAAGAAATCAACACGTTATAAATTTCTTACGTTGCTCTTTCGTTTTACTATTCCTGACACTCCCCGTTGTGTTATACAACAGGACACCCTCAAGGACTGGTAATCCATTAGCAGAGGTATCGACCAAAAGATGCAAAACAGTAGTTTTAAAAATCTAGAAAGGATCTACTGTTCGATTGAAAATTATATTTGTTGATTTATAATACATGTAATATGAAACTGAGAGAATGCTCTTTGGTATGGGTTTGCAAAATTCTGATAGGATTTATAATGACTGGGATTAACTTGAGTGCTAATATAGTTTGCTTACAAAGATTCTTTCTTTGTTACCAAGGCACACTATTTGATTTTTATTGAATATTACCTTTTAGGTTCGTCTGACATATTTTTAGAATTGTTTCCACTACTGTTTTTTCTTCGGAAATTTAATCACTTTTGGAAATGTTAATCTGGAATAACACAACAACTGATCATTTATGTGTCTACAATTTAAATAAATATGAATCTAAAGACTCATATGCATCTGGTTATAACATACATGGATTATTTTGAATACTTATTTGGTGTATTATCGTTAAATACTATGTTATTATATTAATTAATCTCTCTTTTCTGCTCTTCAAATATTGACATGTCAGTTTTTAAGATTTCTAAATCCTTACTGATGATTGTGACGTACAAGTACTTGGCTATTAATGTATTTAACAATCACAATTATATTTTTAGAAGGGAGGTTTATAGCAATGTAAGTTTATATATTGTCAATATTTGTTGTTATTTTAAAAACCGAAAACGTTGTTCACGTAAAACTCGTTTTGAATTTTTTAAAACAAGTAACGGTTTGTTAATGAACATAAATATACTTTGAAACTGTGTACAAGTAGCTGTGACGTAGAAATGATAACATAACCTTTATTTTACAGATATTGAGGAGTGTTTGACAGAATATTGAAATATACAGTTGATAAAAGAGGAAAGAAAGATACTAGGGGGACATGAAAACAATCACTTATTTAAGTCGTTCGTCATTCCCCTTTCCCGTACAAATGAAGCATAAGCACCTTTCAAAACACCTGTTAAGTTTCTTAGTTTTATAAATGCCTGACATAATCATACACTGTTAACAAAACAGTAGATAAGAACCATAGTGAAAAAGTACTGTACGTGTTCAGTTATGTAGTAGATTGCAAAAAAAGAAAAAGAAAATGCTCTATTAATGATTGATTTACATGGCAATTTTAAATTATAGCATTTTATAAGACGTTGTCGTCGTGTTCTTTGAACATGGAATAATTTATCAAGTTGGTTGAATATTGTATGGTCTACGTTGTTTTGCTACTATTTCATGCATGTTCATGTCAATAACAACTAGACTTTAAAAACAATAGATAGGTCTTGCAATTAAAAGGGCGAGAGCGAGGTTGTGCGTGAAATACGTAAATAGTACTGGAAAATGAGGGTATGTTGAATAAGGAAAAACAAATAACCTTACAAGGATTGCCACATCCGCACCCCCGACATAGTAAAGAGTTTTAATACTGATAGAGCATTGATCCATGAAATCTACTCAGTAGTCGGCCATGGATATCAACTTATTTCCAATTCAATTAAACGCATTTAAATTTGTGACAGACAAATGAACTATAAAAACAATATTATCACTTAAATGTGATTTTTATAAAGATTTGTTTAAGCCTTCAAGATTAAGGAAACGCTTAGTTTTTCATCAATTTTCACAACATTATCCGTGTCTCCCCAAAATGTTACAACATCACGGAACGTCAATGAAACATAATATATATATAAAAATAATTGACAGAAAGTGTCGATTGTATATATTTTTTACATTTTACATAACACGTTCTGTTATATGGTATTATTTTGGGAGAAATTTTTTTTTTTCAATTTATCTTAAAATTTTAATTATCAACATGAAAATTGGACTTCCTTCATAGTTTCATAATCCTTCGGTTGATCTTAAAGAAGTTAAATTTTTCGTTTAAATAATAATAATATCATGCAAAAGGTTATTTTTCTCAATTGAAAAAAAAATTTTTGGCGTGTAGCGTGGTTAGAAAAATTGCCAAGCCTGGCCCCGTATTCACAAAACTATCGTAACGTTACGACTGTCGTAAGGTAAGGTTTACGATATCGTAAGTTGTAATTTGTATTCACGAAAGAAACTTACGATGCGATGTGTTGTAAATATTGTAATACACTTACGACTGCTCGAAGCCTGTCGTAACTCGCAATCGTGATCGTAAAAGTGGAGGCAGCGCTAATATAAGAAAAAACGAACGATTCATTAGACGAACAAGGTCTTTTTGGATAGATCTTACCCCTGTGAAAGGCCAATGATTTCTTATTAATAGATGCAGATTTTCGAGGCATAAAATTGTAATTATGAGTATGTCTCTATGGTGGAAGTACACCTTTAAACAGAGAACAACTTGACATAAGCAAATATTGGTATAAAACATTCTTAAACATCCAATAAAATTGAGAATGGAAATGGGGAATGTGTCAAAGAGACAACAAACCGACCATAGAGCAGACAACAGCCGAAGGCCACCAATGGGTCTTCAATGCAGCGAAAAACTCCTGCACCCGGAGGCGTCCTTCAGCTGGCCCCTAAACAAATCTGTATACTAGTTCAGTGATAATGGACGCCATACTAAACTCCAAATTATACACAGAAAACTAAAATTAAAAATGATACAAGACTAACAAAGGCCAGAGGCTCCTGACTTGGGACAGGCGCAAAAATGCGGCGGGGTTTTTTGGGATCTCAACCCTCCCCCTATACCTCTAGCCAATGTACAAAAAACAAAGGACAACAGTACGCACAGTAAAACTCAGTATAAGAGAAGTCCGAGTCCGATGTCAGAATAGGAAACAAAAGAAAATAAACAAAATGGCAATAATACATAAATAACAACAGACTGCTAACAGTTACTGACATGCCAGCTCCAGACCTCAATTAAACTGATTGAAAGATTATGTCTTCATCATATGAATATCAGGCACAATCCCTCCTGCTAGGGGTTTAGTATTATACCGTCATAAAATATATGAGAAGAACATAACCCGTGTCATGCCAACAACTGGTTTTAGAATAAATGTGTTTAATTCCGATGCAAAGAACCTATAAGTGAATCAATATTAAAGCCAAAATATGCAATCTTTAATGACCTGACAACATTATCGTAACTATATCCCTTCTTAATAAGTCTGTCTAAAGGTTTTGTTAGCTTTTGAGGTGAATACTGACATTTTTGTGCTTTGTAAAGAATATTACCATAAAAGATTGGATGTGAAATACCCGAACGTATAAGATGTCTGTATTTTGAGTTATATTTACGAATGATGTCCTTATACCGATGATAAGATTAAGTAAATGTTTTGACTAGTTTATGATATCGAAAACCCTGGTGTAATAATTTTTCAGTAATACATAAATTTCTCTCGCTAAAATCTAATACGTTGTTACATACACGAGCGAATCGTACAAGCTGAGATATATAAACACCATAAGATGGTGACAAGGGAACGTCACCATCTAAAAATGGATAATTAACGATAGGAAATGAAAAATCATCTCTTTTATCATAAAGTTTTGTATTAATCTTCCCGTTAATGATATAGATATCAAGATCGAGGAAAGGACAGTGGTCATTGTTAGTATTAGCTTTATTTAAAGCAAGTTCAACAGGATACATTTCTTTAGTATACATACTGAAGTCGTCATTATTGAGAGCCAATATATCATCCAAATATCTAAAAGTATTGTTAAATTTTTGTATCAGATGTTGTTTCGATGGGTTTTTGCTGATTTTAGTCATAAATTGTAACTCATAACAATACAAAAACAGGTCCGCAATAAGTGGTGCACAGTTAGTCCTCATTGGAATTCCGATAACTTGACGATATACGGAATCTCCAAAGCGAACAAAAATGTTATCAAGTAAAAATGCAAGGGCATATATAGTGTCAAAGCATGTCCAATTGACATAGTTCTTTTGTTTGTTGCTACTAAAAAATGACCTAAAAGAGTTTGAACATATGTATTCGCATTCCGACTTTTTAAATGACCATTTAATTAGGTGTGTGATTTTTTTCTTAATAAGAATATGAGGCAAAGTGGCATATAGGGTAGAAAATCAAAGTTTTGAACAGATTCAAAATCACCAATATATGCATGCAATTTATCAAGTACTTCCAACGAGTTTTTGACACTACAACAGTAATCAATTCCACTATTTTCAAAGGCCTTATTTGTACGCGTGCGCACGCACATCGTGATAAAGTGACATGCGCATAGCCATAGCAGGACAAATAGCCACTCGGAAATTTAAAATATCATGCGGGTAACGTTCAGAAATAATCATTTTATTCTGGGACATTATATATCAATAAACTATTCCCAGGTTTTGTCACAATGCACAATAGCACGCTGTATTAAATACTACACACACAACGCGTACAAGGACCGTCTCAAAACATGGATTTTATAATTACGTTATTATTATACCAGGCAGATATTTGATAAACATTCGCATTATTAAAAACACATATGTTTTGTCAAAAGGTAAATGGGTCCCAATTTTTAAATGATTTTTGACTGCAACATAGTCAGTTTTTTTTACTCTCCGATCTACAAATGCACTTTGATTGTTGAAATATACAATGTCACGTTATAGCCTATCCGTAGAGGGACCGTATCAAAGACATACATAACTACCTGTATAAATGATCAAAAATTTTCTACAGGTTCTGAGAATCTTGTTTCCGAAGATTTCAGAATTGCCCATAGAAACTAGAGTACGATACATGAATAGCATTGGAGACCCAATATTCCGAAAGGTTTGGCCCAAGACAGCTAGGGTAATCTGTTCCTAGGGTAGAAAATCCATAGTATTTCGAAATGTTCAAAGTTTTGTAAACATTAAATTTCTTATTATGACCCGATGTCAATGATAATTCATGTCAACACCGAAATATTACATTGTTTTTCATTTATTGTATTTTACATAAATTAGGTCGTTAGTTTTCTTTTTTGAATTGTTTTACATTTGTCATTTCGGGGCCTTTAATAGCTTGCTTGCTTATGCGGTATGGGTTTTGCTCATTGTTGAAGACCGTACGGTGACCTATAGTTGCTAATTTCTACCGGTCATTTGGTCTCTGGTGGAGAGTCTTCTCATTGGCAATCATACCACATCTTCTTATTTTGATATAGACAACAAACTATCGAAAATTATAATGCTTTAGATTGGACTTACAAATTTAGGGTTTGGGCGTTCCTGGTGGAGGTAAATCGATAGAAAAGCTTTAATCTTCGAACATTTACAATATACCGCATTATAAATTCTTAAAATTAATTGAAGTAGAGAAAGCATACAAAGTTACCTCTTATAAATTGTAATTCTTATT